ATGGTCCTATTCTTAAATCCATTGGACATGAGACGATACTCAAGTTTCATAGAGACATGGGTTCGTGATGGTTCGTGAACAGTGAACAGGATCAGGTGTCTTTTTGCTTCCATCGATGTTTCCACTTGTTTGGCGGAACCCATTGCTTCACATTTGGTAAATTGCGCTCAGCGTGTCGTGCGTGCTCCATGTTGTCATCATCGCAACAGTTCATCGTCATGCAAACTGTGGTGCAATCCACATGTTTGCAACTTGATACATGCAAACACGTATGGGTTTTCTACAAGTATTGAGTGGACATGCACGCAACAATATTAACATCCCAAGTTCAAAAAATGCAGCGGAGCTACAATGAAAGCGTACAAACAAGCAATGTTGTTGTTGACGCTGATTATGAACATGCTGATGCATGCATGCATGCAGAATCACTCACAACATAATGTTGAGCAAAGTTAAACAGCACTCCTGTCTACGATACAGTAGTTATAAGATATTATAAGTTAACATGTTATAGTCTATGCCCTTTGCTGAATTGCAGCACACATAATTACAAACTGTTCATGATAAACCTTGAACAAATCATGGGCGTGCCTAGGTGTGTGGTTCATGCCTCCCAAAAGGCAGTGCCCCAAATCAGGTGCGCGACGAGGTTTATCCCATCTCATCAGCACGACCAGGTGGTGCCGACGGCCGTTCCGGTGCGACACCGGCGATGCGACTGGTGACCGGCTGCGTCCTCACTTTGCCATCGATGAAATACGGGATGGTGCCTAACCTTGGAGCAGCAATCCGACTTGGAAGGACAATGATCTTGCATGGCTGCTGAGCAGAGTTCAAAGAGTTCTCATATGTTCTCATCAAGCATGTACTGTAAATCTTGAGCACAGTCTGGGGAGACTGATGATGTAAATCTCCATGTCTGAAGATTCATCTGATCATCTCTGATTCTGTACCACATTGAATGAACCTTTTCGGTGATTTGCACATGCAACCCTCACTTTGACAACATTAACTAATTTGGTTATTGCATGGTCGAATTTGATCCAATATGGGGTGATCAGAATCTGGATCTGCTCATGGTCATGGCGAAGTCAATCCAGGCAGCACGTTGATCTTCAAGTACTCGCGCACCTTGGCACATTGCTCTTTCAAAGGCTACTGGTGCACCCATTCCAAGCTACGACATGTGCGGACATTAAAATGACTCAACCATTCGGCGGCCTGTCGGTTCTCACCATGAAACAGCGAAACAGGTCGGCAATCCAAGCGGCAAAGACCCGTGGCGGAAAAGGCATGGTGATCAGCTTGCACTTCTCAGCAATCCCCATCTCCTGCCAGGCAGCCGTGATCAGCTGGGGTGACGAGTGGGGCATGTCGCTCAACGAGGCAGCCGGGCGGATCAGCTGGGTGGAAGGGAAGGCACGAGTGGCCCGTGTGTCAATATTGTGTCAGGTCTGGTGACTCACTAAAGAGAACCAACAACACGAGCCAGCTGTCAGGGATGCAGTTTGTCCAAACATCATGAACATTTTGACACTTCATGGGAAGATCGACTTCATCTATTTTCAAAGGTTTGGAATGCCAACTGGTAATAACTTTAACCGGTAAAGGTCCTGGCAACAAGTGCCCATAAACAAACTTGGGAAGCTCACGCGCTCCAGCGATCGCAAAAACACTCCGGATTTGCCGGAGGGAGCGTGGGAAAACAACAAGTTCTGGGTTCATCAGCTCCACCAAAACAAGGCACCAACAAAAATCCCGTCCTCTTTCAAAGTTCCTAGTGTTCACCTGATATGACGTAAGGCAAGGTTCGGTATATCCCAGATAAGCAGAATCCCTCCATCAACAGCGACCTGGGGACCGTCACGGCCGTCGCGGTGAGAATTTCTGGTACGTCTGCCGGCCCTTCCCTCATCCTTATCGTCCCGCCCCAACCACCGGGGCGCTCATGGAGGGTCCACAGGACGCGGAAGGATCTAGCTGACCTGGGTTTAGGTCGAGCAACAAAGCAATTTTGCTCACACCAACTGCGTTCAGCTCGACAGTCGTGTACAAAGATGTTCAGAACCATCAGCCGATTAGTCTACAGTGAAAACCTACAGTTTCTGGTTCTGATACGTCTAGCTCCAGTGAGCAAATGGTTGAATTCCTTGATGAACATGAAGGAAGTCCACGGCGTTGCGCTATTTCCTAAGTTGCAGCACCCTCACTCCAGTGATAGTGACGTATCCAGCAGACGCACTAAAAAGGTGCCAAAAGGAACAAACAAGCCTGGCAGGGTGATGCCGGATGTAGACATGTGCGAATAATTCCAACCACCAGAGTTCAGTCTTCCCTTTATGATGCCGAGCGCATCCTAGGAAAAGAGTCGTGTCAAGGTTGCCTACTGACAAACACAACATATTCCGCTCACAAGCACTGCAGAATGCAGAGCGAAACCCCTGTGACAAAACCCAAACTTATGACGATTGACTTGTATCTTTCAGGTCAATTCTTTGGGGTTCTGCGGTTCGTACATTGAAGCAGTCACAGTTCCAACTCTCTTTTGCGCCCCACACCAGTCCCTGGGGTCTGAGAACAACGCATGGTGTGGTACAGCCTCAGAAAGTCGAAACCGCTCTCTGCCACCCCGTTCGTAGCTTCCTTACTCCTAGTAGTATGGCCGGGAGCCCCTACTAGCGTCCTTGCTCCTAGCCAAATAGACATCGTCTTGATCTGAGGCTTTTCACCAAATTCTACGAACATCCGAGCGCACGCGGAGTCATTCGGTGCCCTTCGAGGTGTACTGAAAGGATCCCAAAATGCCACACACCTTGCCACTCATTACCCTCGTGTGGATGTGAATCACAAGCGGCTCGTGTGGATGTCCCACAGCGACGCAACCGCCAGCGCCGGTGGTTGAGGGTCCTGGCCCTTGAGGTGCATCTGACGGGGGGGCCAGTTGGGCAAGTCAAGACCGACGATTGAACAAGGGAACAGGCATCAAGCCATCGCTACTAGTAACAAGGGCATTACTACAGGTAACAAGCAGCCTGTTGTCCAGAAACGTCTCCACCAACCCACAACAGGAGAACTCTCTGGTGGGGTTTATGGTGTCGGAGAACTTCAGAAGACCAAACAGTGCGCAACATCTGTACTCCTTCCTTTGGGCCGGTGCAGGGTTCTTGACACCAACTCCTTCGCATCCATCTGGAACCCCTGTTTTATCCCCAAAGTAGATCCGCGCTCATCCACGCTCCTGTGGTCATCCTTCGAACGGACCCTAACTCAATCACTCAGTGTTTGCTTAACTTGAGAAAGTACGTCCCCTATCTCAATCAATTACGATCGTCCCTAAGGCAGATTTGTTGCCACTTTTGTGCCATTGATGAAGACCTCCTTCACTATTCTCATACGGATCACTTCCTGCTGGATTTGGAGAACTGAAGATTTTAAAACCCCCACCCAAGACACCAAGGAGTGGGGAGTCATATATTGTAGCATTGTGTAGGACACCATGTTGTTCCTTCAAGAAATCAAACCATCTCACAAGTTGTTTTCGCGATCATACTATCTAGGCAAAGAAAGAAACTAAACAAACAAAAACATGACCCACAGCTGTGGAATGCGGCAGACCTGAACCTGGCAAAATTCCAATGACCTTGAAGACCGACCCTGTGATCAAAAACTGAACATATAACATATATACAGTAAGTTGGTAGTAGGAGTATTGAATGTGTTTTTCTCCCCGAAGCTTCATGTGTTCAATTTGTTTGGATCACTTTGACCCCATCCCGCAGCGTCCGAAGAACTCGTTCCCGCCAAGCGGCGTCATCTGTGGCCCCGGTGCCAACACGTGCGCCATGTTGCGGAAACGGATATGAAAGAGATAATAAAATAGATCCGTCTAAGAATTACTAGAGAAGCTACTAGGAACAAGTGCCACGCTTCTAGTAACAGGTGCCTTACTAGTAGTAACAAGAAGCTACTAGGAACAAGAATGTGAGGTGATACACCTCATGAGACGCGATGCGATATAGAAAATCATGATCCCGAAGTAGACACAACGTGCTGGCAGCTGGATCATGTCCAAAGCTGTATGTCTATATGTGTTCTTTGAGTGTTGCTGTCCAAAAGGCAATTGCTTCATCTGCTGGTCCCATTATATCCTCTTCTCAAGGATCAAACTCATATACTCTTGGCTCTCAAGCTGCAGGCATGTTGGAGTGGCAAGTTGAGATTCTGCCAAAGGCGGATGGCGGAGATTCTGCGCCAAACAAATGGTGCCTTCTGCCTGCACCAAATTTTGGGTGCCTCCGGAGGCCTGGAGGATATCTCCTATAACCTGCTTACCTTGGTCAGTTTTCCTCTACTCATCATGCAACCAGCTTCAACCGAGGAGCAAAAGGAGTCAAACAAGGCCAGGCTATACTCACCAGGTGCCTCTTTCAGCAATCAAATGCACAACTTCTTTATCAAGACCCTGTCACTACCAGGTTCATCTATTTTCGATCCTGGAGATGCTAGGTGGCAAAACTTGAGTATGAATATATATATATATATACATACATGGAGCAGTAGTAGGGCCCCCTCTAAATGAATGATTTCCTGCGTGTCTTTTCTGGTTTCGATCAGAGAGGTTCCCGACCCAACCGATTGCCACGAGGTCATCGGTGGCAACTCACTTTTTGGTAGATGGGCCCTGACAGGGGTTGGGTATCCGTTGGAACCCGTTGGGACTGGAAACTTTTCCGAGATAGAGGCTCTTTGAGCCTTGCTTAGCCGCGCTGCACTTCTTTTCAACACCTGTGAACCAACTGCGGAAGCGGCCGCTGGGTGTCTTTGCACCGCTCGGGCGGCTCTGCCCGCATGGAACAAATCGAAAGCAACCTGGCCAGGCTGGCTTTTGAGGGCAGGTATGAAAACTAACCAGATTGTGCTGAGACAACGTGTTCTACCCCGCTGACAAACCTCAAACATGTCCCAACATAAAAATCCATAAGCCCCTTTTATCTTCTGCAGTTGATCTATGACTACATCATTTGCCTCCAAAACAATACACATGCATACTGTTTTTAAACAAACAGCCAAAAAACAATCAACAAGTAGATCCAACATGGTCCAACTCAGTATTTTTGGCTGGTCATAACTGGAGCAACTTTATTGAGGTACGCCGTTGGTCGTTGACCTGTCCGTTCCCAACGAGTTTGCACCTACTCCTTCGCTGCATCCAAACGCTTTCCACGCGCATCCTTCTCACCTCTTCGCCTGAGTGAAGACCATCACGGAGTGCGAAGCCAGAGTGTGTGCGTGTGTGTCAGCCATGCACTATGATATGATGTATTATTTCCAGTTGTGGCCTCTATGTCTGTGGCCAAAATGGACTATGTCCATTTATATATATATATATATTTGTTTAATTAATTACGTTCTAAACATGTATCAAGAGCCGATGGTCGGCTCAATCAAGGAATCTATTTGTACTGAACACATGGACACTGACAAAACACACCGCCATGGACGTCTGTGCATTTGGCGCGACATCTGGGCTAGACATGCTTGCCTGTAAACTTCCCCAAGAAGCATCCTACAGCATCGACCCCACAGTACAGCTGCTAGCTTTCGAGTGTGGATGAAACCTGGCGGGCGAAGAATTCCCAGTGACGGCTACTGACCGGTCTACTGACGCCGGCTGAGGACGACGATCGCTCTCCAGCGTTCCGATGCGCAGCGATGCTGGTTTGACGGCGGGGGTTGGTCAGGGACTCTTGGTCGATGAAGTTTTGAATGGACAAAGTCGTAGACATGACATGCACTTGCTTTATAGTTTCGCTGTCAAGTAAACTTTGCACCAGGTTTTTCTCACTTTCTCGCTGTCGGTATGTTCCCCGCGCCTGTAGAGGAAATAGCCAGGCACCGCAAGGCCCAGCAAACCGATCAAACTGACCTGCAACTGTGTAGATCGGAGTGGACACGTTGCGTGGACGGTGCCAAAATCCGTTCAAAGCGACGAACATGCGTGAGTTGGAGGATCTGAAGATTTTCTCCACACTGTATAGACCCCCTGGAGTTCAGTGGCATGGTGACAAAACACCATCGCGGCCAAAAAGCACTCAGATTCTTCCAAGACATCACAGGGTGCACAGAATTTCTGGGGAGTCCGCTTCTTGATCACTTCAGTCCGTTCCGACGCTCTTCCTTTGGAGGAAACCAACCATCTGGTTGGTCGCTGTTCCGTTCCGCACTTCCCTCCAGCGGCGGCAGAGCAGGCCGACCCGCTCGGTCAAGCGAGGCATCACACACCATGCAGCTCATGCAAATCCTGGTGCCTTGAAGCTCGTGTGGAGGCCATTCCAGGCGCTCCTGGTGGCAGGGCGGACCAGAAATGAACTGGTGGGAACATGTAGGAACCCTTTGGGGGGTTGCACATTCCCCAGGCCTTGGACTATGACATTATAGGCTGCTTTTATTTATACTTATTATCTATATATTCTGCTTACTATTCCGGCCCATGACTTCCAAACTGTGGATTTGATTTTAGAAGCCATGAGATGATTCTGCCCCATGCTTTAAACCTGGAAACTGCCAACATGGCTTGAATAATAGATTCTTGTGCTCTGCCACATGGTGGTGTCACGGTGTCCAGAGCATGACGTAAACTGGAGACGCGGGGTTACTTCATTGGAGGTCACAAAGCGTCCGAATGAGATGAATGAGATTGGTTCAAACAACCCACTTAGGCTAGAATGGAACATGCCAAAGGGATTTGTTTTTTGACCAATGCGGCACCAGGTTCATCTATAATCCACTCATTGCATCTCATTGCTGAACCCCCCCCCTAAACGCGACCCTGATCGGTACCCCCATGCACATCGAAAAATGGGAAGTCTGCTGCCTGTCCACATTCGGGCGCTGGCATTTCAGAAGCCACTTGCAACGGACGTTTTGGAGGTGATCAAGATAGACGGTGCCCTATGGTGCAAAGAAATCGATTGTTCAACTCCCAAGTGCTGGATTCGAAAACGAACTGCCAGCAGCTCCTCTTGGCAGACTCCTCCTTTTGCAGCAGCTCGACCTGGAATTGGAAGATCTGTACAAAGGTATGATTCGGTATGATGTCTGCTGGGTATGTCAAGCAGCTGCCCTAGTGAACACGAATGAAGGCAAGAATTCACAGGACATTTGACCCCTGGCCAAGCAAAGTTGGACTTGTCTCCGAGCTGAGAATTTTGGGCATGGTTTGGCTGAAACAATCGGGGCTTCTCCATTGTCTTCATAGTTATAGCTATTTTGGAGATGGTTTTGTTGCACTTTCTCATCTACCCTGTGGATTTGTTGACCCACACATACACATGAGATCTCTCGCAACCTCTACTAGTCTACTCTTACAAATTGAATCCAAAAGCAAAAGACCTCACAATATCTCAATGACCCATCTCCCAAAGGCATAGTCTAATGGCTTTCTATCAGTTTCTCCTAAGTGTTTGTTCTCTTTCAGTGATTGCTGGCCAGCTGGGTCTTGTTCCGTCGACATCATGGTACTCTGTGGATTCCGACATGTGACACACACATGAACCAAGTCATCCAAGTGATCCAAAAAACTGGCTCTGGTCTTCCCTCCCAAGTCTGGTCAATTTGTTTGAGACAGTTTAAGGTCATCCCAACAAAAATTTTGAAACTTACCAAAAAGAATCAAAAAATCTTAAATCCATCTTTACAATCTGTACCAATCCCCTCAAAGGCGCGTGGATCGCTCCGACAGTCTCGCCTTGTGAGCCTCTGCTCGCTGGTGTGAGAAGTGGCGGATGAGTGGAACATAGGCGTCCAGCACTCGGTGGCCACCTGGGGAACGGCATCGAAGGGCAGGTTTTTCGGATGAAATTTGGCCGAGTCTGCGGTCTGGAGAAGGTCTGCGGTCTGTCTGGCTCCCACCTGGAAGGATGCCGAACCGAACGCCTTGTTGGCACTTGGTTCCGGACCGGAAAGGGTTTCATGTTTCTTTGGGTCCCATCCAATGTCTGAAAGGGTGCCACGCTAGTAGTAACAATGTTTGCTATTAGATTTAGATTTAAGTTAAATTACTAGCTTCTTGTTACTACCAGTAAGGCACTTGTTACTACTAGCGAGGCACTTGTTCTAGGTCCCATCCAATTGTCTGAGGGCAAATTGTGGCTCTTCTGGCACTCTGGCACTCGGTTCAACGTTTTCCGCTCAGATCGGCCGTCGTGCCTGTTTTCTCCTTGTGGAAGAGTGTGAGCTTCCTTGGCGACATCCCGTCGTCGCATTCTCAGGAACCCCAGCATTGCACAAAGCAAAAGCGGAGCAAATGAGAAAACACAAGTGTGGGACCATTGATTATTCTGTGTATGTATGTGGGAAACAGTATACATACGTAGGACAAAACATGGCGCAACCGAAATTCATTGCCTTTTGACATCTTCTGTTAAGAATAACACATATCTGCACAACTCGCCAAAGATTTTCACTTGATCCTAGTGGAAAAACACTTTGCTTGGGATCTGATTCTCTACCATCAACTTCCTGGCGCAAGGGTGAATTATTGGGAACCTTTTGGTTGACAATCCACAATCAACCAAAGGATTATGTAAACCCAAATGATCTGCCAATGAACATCGATCAATCATTTGGCACGCGGCAAACAACGGCGGCAAAGAACGGGTGGTCTTCAAAGGATAGGAATTCATGTCGGTTGAAGCGACACAAAACGGGGTTAGCCAAACAGCTGGCCCTCTGAATTTCCTCTGATTGCTGTATACTGCATAGAGCAAAAACAATGAACATAAAAACAACATACGGCGGCATACCTTCCAATACGGGACACTCTTGCACACGGAATGTAGACGGTGCTCTCAGAAGTGGTCACGGCTCGTGATGCACAAAAGCGGTAAGTGGGGACGACACGTTGGTCATCTATGGCGGCTTTTCTCACGCAAAAACTGACCATTCACACACACACAAAAACGAACCGCTTCCCGACCTCATGCTAGCATTCTAATCTGGTCATGACGTGCTCCAAGTATGGACCATTACGGACCCACTTCTCTCACTGTCGGAGACTCCCTCGATGACCGGGTCGACGTTCACCCCGAGACGATCGGGGTCGATCAACCGAACCGGGTCGCGGTCGAGACGTTCACCCCAAAGACGCGACGAAAGTTTCGCTGTTCGGTGACTACAAAAGGAACAAATCCTACACCCGCCTGAACTTGACAAAAACTCAAGTTCTTGCCGGAGTTGCGTGTGGTGTCCGCATCTTTCAAACTCACAACATTTCCCAATGCTTGATTCTGCGCTAAAACATCCAACAAATGAGAGTTTAAACCTACAAGATCCAACAGCAACGAAATGATGCTTCTGTACAAACATGTGCGTTTGCAGTCCAAACTTGGTCTGGAACAGAAACAAAACTGGTTGTTCCTCTACCAGTTTCCAGCTGTTGAACATCGACAACGAAACATGTTCACCCGTCATAGCCACCAGACGCTCCAAAACTGCCAAGCTGCTGCTGCAGCTCTGGATGCGTTTCCGCCTTCCGGATCGGCACCTTGTTGTGGACAAAAACGCTTCTGAGGCGTAACCACAACCCACAAATCTTCTAAGGATGAGAAAACAACTTCCCTGACATGTGACTCTTCATCACTGAATCACAGTGTCATCAGAAACAGCAGGTAGGCTTGGCAGTGTGTCTCTTGTTTTGGAAAGCATTCACAAATAAACACACCCCGACACGCCGGCGAGGAGAAGAATGAGAGGTCATCTTATTCGGCAACAGCGGTGTGAGAAGAACATACTTTCAACCAGAGTGTGCAAATGATGTGCGCGTTGATTTTGCCAGAAACGGTCACTTGTGCCCCTTGCAACTGCGTTATTTCATGTGCTGCACATCACCAAGCACAACATCATAGACGATGGGTTACACCCAGGATTCCAAATTTTCTGGTCCGCCAAAGGCAAACGGAATCATCACAGAGGTGCGTTTTATGGTGCACATATTCTTGCATTCTATCTGGCATCTCTCCTGGCATCTCTTCTGCCGTTCTTTCTGGAACTCTATCTGGTTCAGGTCCAGTGGTGCCCACTGCACTCTGAAGGAAGGAAGGAAGGAAAGAAGGTTAACCAAAAATCAACATATCTCATCAGATCTCAAATCATCTCCACATCCTTCAACATGGCACCACAAAGAGTGCCCAGGCGCCACTGCATCATCCTCTGCCCAAAAGAGTGCCACAGCGCAAGTCTCAGGCCTCGGTGCTCGGGAGTGGCTGTGTCGTCAGACGGGTCGTCAGTGTCCACCAAAAGGAGACTTCAAACGACGTCTCTGACCACTCCAGAATCATGCGGTTGGAAAAAAAACAGCGAGAATCAAGGGCCAGCGCGAACCACGAGAAGTGGAGCTAAGGGTTGGTCAGTCAAGCATACGGCCAATCATCTAAGCCCATCCTCTCTATTTTTCTCAGCCCAGCGGCCATGGATTCAGCTCAGCTGGCGCCACTAAGACCATCTTCTGCACCTGGCGAGTTGGTGCCAGTCCGGCTCGAGCTCACGGCGCAAGTCCGGCGTGGCATAATTACGATCGTTCAGGTCAGGAAAAGAAAGAAACGGACAGCCGGACGGATATGCATTAAAGTATAGTCCTTTGGGTGATACCAATCCAAACCAGTTGAGCAGTTGAACAATGCAACATGTTGAACAATAGATGCCCTTTTCATCCCTTACCCTTTTCCAAGAAATTGGGTTACTGCTTGCCAAACCCATACCCCAACAAAGCTCAGAAGCCCCTGCGATCCCGACCCCATGCCAAGCGCCGGACCAAACATCCCAACAAAGGAAGCCCGTTACGAACCGTGACTTCCACCAGCCCCTTCTACCAGTGACTTCCACCGTCCAGTCGTTCGTCTCGGTGACGCTGCGCGTGACGCGCCTTCAAGGCCGTGTCTTGGGAGATCTTCGATGCCATGCCGCCTCTTGGGATCCGTCGATCGCGTGACGACGCATGTTTTTTCATCGGATGGACGGATCACGTGGGATCTGGTGTTTTCCATACCTGAAGCAACCTAAGATACAAAGGCATGCTCTATGAACCGAATTAATGTGCGGGAACTTGCCTGAGTCGACTAAATTAGTAAACAATTGCACTTCAAGTCCAAAAAATCTTCCCTGAAACATGTTGGGCGTATCCTCGTTACCGGCCCCTTTGTGAAAACGCTTTGATTTCTTGTCACGGAACCGATCAGATCCAATCCAATGATTTGCCTCCCAACAGTTCTAGTTATATTCATTAAAATTTCTATGCCGTCACTTACCCATCGACCCATTAGCCGCACAGCCCGCAGCCCCTCTCTGTTTCGTTCAACAACCGAACGGTGCCGTCCGCTGTGGTTTCTCCGACCGACCGCCGCTCGCTTCGCCCGAAGTGCGGGATTCGGCTCAGCGCCCGAAGTCCACTCCCAAAGAACTCTGACCACATCGGATGTCCAAGTTCTCTCGCGACATAGGGGAGCTGTGACACGCTGTGACACAGCCAATCAACTTGACTGTCACCACTGGTATGTCTGCGGTTCTCAAGCATCTTTTTGGTCCAGAAGCCAGTGAAGCCAGCCTACATATTCCATGTCGTCGCGCGTCGCAGTTGCCTCCCCAAGATTTCCCCAGCAGCATACTGATGCCATTGTTACTGCTCTGCCGCATCCTAAGTGGCTGCTACGTCCAGCGGAAGTGTCACCCAAATCCACAAACGTGGGTCACTGATCTACCCTCTAGCCGCTAGCCGACTCTAGCTGCTGGCAATCTTTGGCCTGGAATCTGGAAGATAGTCTGCCGGGGCATTCTCCATGTCCATGTTTGTTGAAAAGAGAACAAATCAGCACGTACCAGGGCCGCTGAAAGGGTGTCCATTCAAAGCCGCTTGGTTACCGGTTGTTCATTAAACACCCCTTGTGGGGTTCCGGTAGTCGACTATGCACTTCCGGAAACTGGAACATGCGAGCAGCAAATATCCAACAAGAAGCATCAGGCAAGCATGTCACTGTCTCATATGGCTGGTCTTTGCAACAAATCTGCTGCAGGACCTACAGCGGGATCCATGCATGCTTCTACCATGGGTGTGGGTTATGGTCCACACATGATGGAAACATCTGGTGGGCCAGCCAAGGCTCAAGTCTTTCACCACGATACTCACAGAGTCGCTGGAGATCGTCCCGGGCCTCGGGTTGGTAGCTGAAGTAAAGAATGGAAAAGCATCGTCGGCGTCAGTTGATCCATGATGGGTTGGGTAGCTGTTTAGATTGCTTGATCCATGTGGAGTGGCTAAGAACGGGTCCTTTGCCATCTGGCACTTTGCATGAATATTCTGGGCCACACACACACACACACACGCACGAGAAGGCTGAGTATTGATAACAATACTATCATTATCAACATAGCTCATGAAACCGAAGAAGACTCAATGTAGCAAAGAGCAACAAATACATGAACGAAACTCGCCAAAAGACATGCAAAAACGAACATCACGGTCAGCAAAACGCTCCATCCCATCTCAGGGTGGAGCAGCCTAAGCTTGTTATTTCTCCAACTCCCTCCCATTGGAGAATAACGTCCTGCCCTACAGCCGAACGCCACACTAACGCATGACTTCCTGTAATATCTGTAATCCACTTCTGAGTGGAAGCCTCACTCGCCTCCATTTGCTTGTAGGCTTGGACCACAAGAATTACGTGCAAACTACAACTAATTCTTTACAATCAACCAACAAATCCCAATACAAGGGAACTCGTTTCGCCTGGGCATCTGACGTGAGACCGTTCGACATCGAATGGAAGTTGGGAAGCAAGACATGATAGCCCTCCTGGCCGCTCGATGGCGATGGCGACCTAACATGTCCAAGCAATGTATTTTGATGAACATTCTCCCGTAAGGCAGCAACACGATGCACCTCATGGAATCCTGGATCAGATTGAAGAATATACTGACAGATTAATATAGTTACCGGCCGGTACCGTTTATCAAGAGCACTCCAGAAAACAGCCCCATCCTGCACACTTAAGACCCCTCAAAGCAAACCCACGGCAACTTGAAACCTTGCGAAAAAGTCAGCACATGAGTGCCGTCGGTAGGTGGGTCGGCTCCCATCGGTGACGCAGGTGTCATGCAAATGTCCTATTCCTATTCCACGTCCAGCATATAAAACTAATTACTTGAGTAGTTGAGCACAACTTTGGAACAGGTCGCTCAAGCCCAACGCAGCTTTTCTACGACTGCAGCAAAGTAAACATCCTCGGAGGCTGAAACTGAAACATCCTCCGCAAAAAAAAGGCTGCACCCACTCACTACGCTCACTACTCTGATGGATGGATCCCATTGTTCGGGGTTCAGTCCTCTGCCAAAGCTTTGGCCGTGTGGTCCCATTCATGAAGCATGCTCTTGGCCATGCCTGAGCAATGCCCCAACAATCCATGAATATGGACTATTTACCTAACCATTGACCCTCAAATCATCTTAAAACCTGCTTAATGTAGGCAAAAATTCCAGTCACATGGAATGTCTGGGTTATGGATGCAGTAAAATCAGTAAAGCCATCGAACACGAAGAGGCTGACTGGATCCCCGTTGGCCAGTCCGTTTCTGCTCAGTGCACCGTCCGACTTGGTGGAAGAAGGTCAAGCTAGGCCAGGAGCCCCTAGTAGCCAGGAGCCCCTAATCACTAAGTACGGCCACGAGCCCCTAGGAGCGTCCTTGCTCCTAGTAGCGATGCCAGGAGCCCTAGTAGCCAGGAGCCCCTAGTAGCGTCCTTGCCATTGCTCCTAGTCGCGATGCCAGGAGCCCCTAGTAGCGTTCAAATCCCAAGCATCAAAAAGCGGGCCCTCAAAGCCTGATGGATTCTGAACTGATCTGATGGATTCTGGTCATGGCTGGCTAGAGTTCTTTTTCGTGCGGTGGGAATGGTGGACGGATCTCGTCCAACATGCCCTTTTTATCGCCACCTGCGTCCGAACAAACAGAAACGCCCACCATGGCCCCAGCCGTGGATGGCCACGGCCAATGGCCCCTGCTTGGGACCAAATTCAAAGACCTGGCGGATTGCTACGGATTGCGGCTCCGGATGGCTCTATATCACGTCTTGGATGGTTTGATTCATTTCCAGTAGACAAGCAAATCTAAATGGGGCCACTACTACGGGAGTATCACTAGGTGAAGTACGGCAAAAATACAAACACTTCCAAGACCCTCGAAAGTGAGTTCTGCCAACATTCATCGTCAACGGTCGTCTGAAAATGGGTCAAACTGGATGGTGCAAATGTGCCCAAATCACTTGCAAAGGACAGACAGCCAATGGGTACTGATCCACGAAATTCGTCGAAAAGGCATCATCGTCTATTTGTGGATGACATGTGGATCGAAGATGATCGAAGTATCATGATCGTATCATATCCTGGTGGATGTCCAGTGTCCGCTTCTCTAGTAACCTGCATGCTTGGCACATGGTTTCTTTGCCCCACAGATTGGCACCTGGATGGGTGCCGATCAGCTTCTCTTAGCAATCCAGTGGATCCCCACCTCCCATCACCTCCCCACATCGCATGGGAGATCCTTTTCGGTGCCTGTTTACGGCAGCAGAAAGTTCTATTGAGGTGAGGCCGTTTTGGTGGTTGATTCAATGAAAGAAAGCACATGAAAGCACCATGCAATTCTGCAACCAGTAGTCTGTTCAAATCAAATCTGCGTTGTTGACTATGTTGATGACGTCTGATCGGGCTTCTTGCCCCCAGATTGATTGCCACTTCCCTTGTCGACCAAACCTTATTTGCAAAGCTTGCTGCCGAACACCTCACATGCACTACCACAAGTTGGTGCGAGACACTTAAAAAGTTCAACTAACTACAGCTGTCCCTAGTTGACCCTCAGAATCACGTGCTGGGCATTGCTGGGCAATGGAGTTTTAAACGTTCAACTCCAGAAATTGCGTGAAATCAGGAGATCTGTCCTCGGGTAGACTGAAGTAAACCCTCTCCTGACATCTCCTGACGACTCTCTTTCATACTTCTTCTCACTGATCAGCCAGCTGGTCGAGGCCGAAAGCCAGGACGGTGCACCGGCACGTGAGGGTTGATGAAAGCAGCAGCCCTGGCACGCTGTTCCAAAAGCTCCATATACTCCTTACGAAGGATCAACGGTTGGTTGCCAGGTGCCAACGACCAAGTCAAGGGATCAACATGCAACTACGAGCGTTCGAGAGTGAAGTAAATCCGTGGAGAAGGTTTGAGTTTCCACACCAACCTGATAGAGAACAGGAAGTTTGGGGAACAAAAATAAGACCCACAAGGCTGAACCGGAAAGCGACTGACTGAAGCTGTCTGCAACCCTGGAAACCTGAAACTTCTCAGTATCATATAAAACACTATGCCTTGAATGCCTTGCTTGAAACTTATTTACAACCATTGAGACGGCATCTGTTCTGAATTCCAGTGTCTTTTCGCATTTAGGCCGTTTCAAGATCCACATATCAAACAACAGCACGTATTTTCCGGAAACGTACGGTCTGAAATGTAATGTGTTTTCAAGCCACCTTCGATGGACACAAGCTTTTGTTGATGACTACTTCACCAAAGATGAACCAGCAATACCACGTTGTCAACGATGTAACATTTTGTAACCACATAACATCTTGTATCATCATCTTGTCATTTGCGGCTTGCTGTATCAAACTGTTGTTCTATAGCCCAGGTCAATTACATGGAATGTGTCCATACAAGTCGAGCCTCGAAACCTCCACCTCGAACCTCCAACGAAGCCCTCCCCTCACCTGCATGAATAGGATTGGCACAGAAAGAACTACCATGATAGGTATTACAGTTTTCATCTTTAAATAAACAAATTTGGACATATTGGGGCCCATTAGCATCATCAGCACCAGATCAAGCATTAGGACATTATATACTGTATACAGTATACATACAAATCATATAACAATACATGTACCATCATTTCATCAGTACTTACATGGGCGTAGTGCTTACTATGTAGTTACAAGGATTACTAAGTAGTTAGCAGACTTAATGTTGTACTTGTGCTACTTATCTATCTTCAGTTGCTGGACTTAGTATGTATACTTACTGTCCTACTTATTAAGTATCACAGTTGTTGTTACTATAATCTTACACACGCTGCAGGGCTATATGCTCGCAGCGGGATTGACGGTTTCATTGCGTCTTTCACATGCAATGTAATGCTTTCATGCAATGCAATGTCATGTCATACCATGCAGTGTCATGTCACGCAACGGAGTGTCATGCCATGCCATGCCAAGTCATTATATACAGTGTTTGTGCAGAGCTACCTTGAAGTGTCTTGCAGTCTTGGGAGATTCTTGCGCAGCGGAGTGACATGTACCCATGAGTTTCTTCCGAATGAGTTGTGTTTCATGTTCATTTTGTTCACTCGTTGCTTGTGTTGCATGATCATGCATGTGCACATTTCATGTCAACTTCATGCTGCTATATAGCTGGCTCTGAGTGATCACGCGTTTCCTCACCGAGATCTCATCCTGACAGATGGAGAAGATGGAGGGCGTGCGCAGCTTGCCAGATGGAGTGACATCCACCATCAACGTGCTGATTGACAGGGCTCTTTCTGGAACTTCCATGGTCAAGTCAGCAGAAGGCATCTTGACCTTGTTGAGGAAGGAGCAAGTGTTGCTCCAGCTTCGCCTGACGCCAAAGATGGTTGGGGTGCATCCGCGCAATCGAGATGGAGTTGGGGTAGCGGTGCGCGAGGTACATTCCTTGCTGGCAGACATTCTCGACACAGGGTTTGTCCCGAGCTTGGTCAGTGCTTTGGCCTTTGAGGTGACAGGCCCCGAAGAGTTGGAGTTCAACCGAAAGCTGATCGAGTCTGCGGGTGGCCAGCTAGGAGTTGCCGATGTGGCACAGATGAGGTATTTGTCTGTGTGCGGCTCACACACCAACTTCGTCCTCCGGCTCTTTGTGGACTCAGTTGAACACAGCCAGAACCAGCAGGTCACTGTCAACGGCAGGCTGAGCCAAGACGCTCTTCGTCTTGCCGACACGGCTTTCTTCCAGGCTGTGCAGGAGGGGGTGGTCTGGGAGATCATTCCCTCGTGGATCGCATTGCAGTTTCCACGATTACCAGAGATCTTGCAACAGGTTGGAAATACTTCCCTCAACCGCGGGGAGAGCGAGATGCAAATGTTGCAGCGGCTGCACTCCATGTGCGTTGAGCGCACATCAAAAGGGGAAAGGGTGAATCTCGAAGATGTGAAGCGGCGGGCGTTGGCAAGCAAGCCAGCTTTTGCTGAAAGCTTGTCAGACATGTGGACCTTTGTCATGAGGTACTCAGGAGGCGCCAAGGCAAACATGATGCAAGAAACCCAGCAGTTCGTGATGACAAACACCAAGTCAACTCAGCTGGGTGCTCCTTTGTGGAAGGCACTGGTTGAGGAGTCCAAGATTGCCACCAACTCCCTTGTGAGATGGCGACACGCCATTTTGAAGCAGGGCTACTTCCACGGGGTGAAAGCGTTGGATGTGAAGAGGTCATTCAGCAAGGACATGGTGCGGAGGGTGGCAGAAGCCAATGACCTCATGTTGGAGGTCAGGTTGCTCCTCAAGCAGTTTGTTGGTCGAGGACAGTTTGTTGGTCGAGGCAGGTTGCTCCTCTCGCAAGGACTGTTGCGTCTTGTTGGTCCAGGGCCGGCTTGTGGTGGGAGAAGCTTGGAACTTTTTTCAGGTCGAAGACAGGTGCATCTCTGTGGTCAGCCTCTGGGAGCACGTCCATGGATTCATGTACAAAGTGGCAGAGAATCCGGTCGTGGTGGAGGTGCAGTGTCTTCGAGAATCGGTTCCTTACTCCCGAGTGGAGAGCGATGCCATCGTGCTAGTGCCTGAACGAGCCCTGCGAGTGTAAAATATGAAGAGTGCTTGCAGTCATGTGTGACAATGTTTTCACGTGATGCATGTCGATGCAGACCTGTTTGAGGCCTTGTTCTAAAACATGTAAGCATTTTTTTGTATTCATGTTTTGCACTTGTAAGTGTGACATGTTCCACTTATATGTTTGACATGTTCCACTTAGTATACTTACGATGTTGAACTTGTAAATGACACCTGCACACTTATAAGTGTCATAACTAGATGCTGAAGATAACAACTGGATACATGTGACGCACTCCACTTACTAAGTCTGACAACACACATACAAAACATATAAGACTTATATCCTAATATAGCTAGGTTGTAACTGTACATAGCATGCTTGTATGTACACATATACGTGCAATAACCACACTATCTAGATACTAACCACACGCTGATGTAAGTATCGATGCTACAAATGGGACTAAACCATTGCCAACTCCGCGCACCGACCCCACAGGCGCCGCCATCGAGTTGGGACCCCATGATAAACGCCGAAATGAAAGGTCTCAAGACTGGCTCAAGACCTTTCAATCCTTGTTGATGTGGTAGTTGAGCTGGGTTGACCGCAATAACTCGTTCAAGGCTCTTTGACTTCCAGATCTTCTTCGAGAGCTGGCTGCAGGACCGGACAACTGTGTGAGCGAAGAAAGGGAGGCTCCCTCTTCACATCAATGAAAGTCGCCTGATGACACAACTTGGCTTCCATCCTGCAGAAGTGAATAAACACTGTAAACACTATTCTCTTGAACCATCAAACACCTGCGCCACGCGAGCACAACATGCATGCAGCAGCGTCTAGTCTTCGTGTAAACAGTTGTTAATTATTTTATCTCGAATGGATTTACAAATGGTGGCCGCCGCCGGCAGGGGTATCCGTATCGCTGCCTCTTGATGACAGGCAACGGCCACATCCACTCTGTATCCGTGTCACAGTGAGCACCAACGATTTCCAAAGGAACTGGAGCTATTCCATTCGGAACTTGTGAATTCACTTGTGCCGATGAGGTGGCCGCCTCAATTGGTCCCAACTCGGTCTTCCAGCCAGGGGCCATCCTGGGCGTGGGCGAGAACTTCCGTGGAAAAGTGGAACACTCAAGCAGAATGCTTACCCCCCCTGCAGACAGAGCACATGGACCCTGAGAAGAGCACCTCGCCGTGGTTTCAACCAATGTTCCTGTACAAGTCTGGGGGGGTCCATGTGGTCCTCTGCATGGGGAGATGAGCAAAGTTGCACTTGTTTTGTGCGTTGCAGTTGAGTGAAGTCTGAGACAGAGCGAGACTTCTTGTAAGCTAGTGACTCGAGACTCCCATTGAGGGATTCGGTAAAATCCATCGCATAGAGCCGTTTTGTCACAATGTCAAGCTGTCAACAATCCCCTTCTCCATATTCTCTTCATCGAGACCACATAGCTTCTGATGTGGCATAGGGTTGAAGAACAATTACTGTGCCAGCTCATCTAAACAACAACAACAACAGCAGCAGCAGCAACAACAACAACAACAGCCACCACAACCACAACAACAACAACAACAACAACAACACCATTAGCAAAGTGAGGACCCGGTCTCTTGCTCACACCGTCATCCAAGTCCCAGCTGGAAGAGGAGACATCCACGGGAGTGTAGCATCTCTTCATTTGAAAAGGTGAGATGGCATGAGATGGCTATATATCCCACTATTACACAAACATGTTGGAAAGAAGCATAAACAAAGCGTTCCCTCCACGCTGCTTCGGCCATGCAGCTGTGCAAGCTTTAACTCCTTTCCTTCGCAGAAGTCAAAGATCTCTTCAGCCTGGGTCCCACCGGAACGACAAGGCGATCATTGAAAGTCCCTGTGGCAATGCATGCACAAAAGCCTCTGTCCATTATACAACAGCCCATGTTGCAAACAACATGCTCAACTTAACGCGCGGCTTCAACGCCCCCGGTGTGCCAACGTGAATCCACAGACCGCAAATCAAGTAGTTAGGTGTCGAACCCCCAGCCACCTCAATGGACGCATTGCTCTTCGGTGACGGCTCCCGAAGAGAACGAGTTGGCATTTCGCCTTCCACGGGGTGGCTACAACGACCTTCCGGGTGATATGGGGCGATAAATTCCACGTCCAAAGAACTCAATTATATATAAGCCAGGTGACGAACTGAGCTGTGAACTCATGCTTGGCCCAAGCCACGTTCATCCTTGTTCAGAGCAGTTTGGAGCAGAAACGAAAACCGATACACCGACGGAATCCACGTCAGGTGTTCGCTTGAGAGGACAGAACAACACACCAACTATTGAGGCAAACATCACTTGCACATGGTTATTATTCTATGTTAATCATTATGCAGTACCCAATATATAGCTTGGATGCATCAGTCGGTTTTTGATCGGCAAAAGGTCCAAAACATTCCAAAACACATTTGCACAAGAAACATCTGTTTATGTGGCCCAAAGCAATTCCCAATCAGTTCCAAGCCCCCAATCGAACAACAGGGAAGCTGCTAACAAAGAGATGCATCCTGCCCCCAACTATTACCAGAATTCTATGTACTTGTCCATCTTCAGGGCATTCAAAATATCATAAACTCCCGAACTACCCCTTCGGGACACAAGTGATCCTGCGGCATGCAGAAGTGAATTCCACACTGTCTTTCTTTGGACCTCACCGGGAACCTGCCGGAGAAGAGGAAAAAACAAAGGGAAAAAGGGTACGGTCGGTAAATCGGGGGCAACCGGTGTCTCATCATCTCGTCCCAGGAGCACTTCGGCCAAACAGCTCTCATCCGCCACCAGCGAATCCGGAGCATCGAAGCCCAGCACGGACTCCGCAGTGGCGATCCAGCGGCGGTGCCTGGGCGCTGGGTGAGTCCCTGAAGCTTTGCTGAGCTTTTGAGGATGGCATAGAGGAAGCTAGGGCATGGCTCCAAAAAGTGCAAGGGAAGCATCGCATGGTAGGGCAGGTCTGCGCATGGGGCTAACTGGGTGTGGATTAAATTTAAGTGCCTCGTAATTCCATGATTGTTTCCTTTTGGTGGCCCTGTAGATAAGTTTGTAAAAAGATGCTTCTCCCCAAGCCGTTCTTCAAAAAGATGGTCACCGGTTGATGTCTCTTCATGTGAGGCAGCTAGCGATGTTTGGTCGATCCAACAATGCCAATGCCCTTTTTCGGCATCCCCAAACACGTCGTGCCGATTGAACACCCACCATGGGCTGTCCATACCCATGGGCTGTCTGCAGTTCTCCTTGGAATCCACCAACAAAAAGGAATCTATGGCCCAAAAACTGACATGACCTGCCTTGAAAAACCGACAACTGCCTCAGTCAGGACCTATTCAACCACTTGGAGCACCGCCCGCGCCCGCGGCGCCTGGGATCTTCCCGGAGGAAGCCCTGCGAATCCACCAGGTGCTGCTCCTGGCCGGTCCGGTCCAAGCTCGGTCAGGGGTGGGGGTGGAAAGGACAAAAGCTCGGTGGTGGATGCCGCGCCTGGAAGGCTTTGGACAACCGTTGGGCCTGGTCCTCTTTCAAACATTTCGTGAGGAACTGCGCGGAGACCTTCTGTGGCTCGGCACCTCGCACGTGGTGCGCCAGGAAAAAACAGGGGCCCAAACAAAATCGTAGCACACCTTTAAACTTTAAACCACTCTGTGGGCCCGGGAGACTCGTGGTACCACTCGTGGTCTATCATGCCGTGTTTTGCTGGCTGGAATGAAATCCTGACGGCCAACGGGTTGAAGTGTCTATTCCCAAACCATCCATCATCTGGAGAGTCCCATTTCTGACCTGCTTCATGCAGGACATTCATTCTTCAACATGTTCAACTCTGTCTGTCCCGCCTCGTCCGGAAACGCTCGCGTCGTGCGTCTCTCGTCCGCGACGTCTCCGAGGCACGGAGCTCGCCGGTGCGCACCTTCCGCACGGTGAGGTCCTGGCCGAACGGCCGCAGCCGGCGCTCCCGAGCGTAAACTCACGGTGGACGGTGCCGCGAGCGCGAGAGCCTTCGCGAGGCGCCGGTGGCGAGGGAATGGAAGAAAGCGACAAGCCTCTCTTGGAGGCAAATTTTCCCAAGTAGCTGTGCAGAAGTACGTTTCTTTTTGAAGGATAAAGACCAGGAATCACACGAATTGGATGTATGATCATCGGTGAAGCCCTTGCAGAACAGGCTCCAGCACGAAGTCCGTCCCCCTTGGAGTGGGCAAGTCAGACCTTCAAAATAGAGGAACACTCGTAGAACTTAGCTGGGGACCCAAAAGAGAGCTTGAGGAAGACCAATGTGGACATTACACAATATAATTACAATAACCCCATGTAACCCCCTGTACATATTTGTCGAACATCTCCATGCTGCTTGGGGGAGAACTGAGCAATCAACATTCAAATCAATGAAGCTCAGCACATCGCCATCAACCTTCGATTGGAGTCGAACCCCCAAACAATCGGTGATCGGCCAACGATCGGGTTCGACCATCCGGTGGTCACGAACCGATCGAAGCGATGGTTCAATGGAAGGAAAACAAATACCTCGGGGGCAAAAAGACCGGCATTTACGAGCTCAGTGCCCTTCCAGTTGCCCTTCCAGTGATGGCCATTTTGAGGAGATTGCTGGAAGGGGGTTGCTGGAACTATCCTCCTTGACAAGAGCGGAGCACGGAGCAACACCAGTCTTGATCAGTATACAGCTCTGTGAACTATTGTGGCACCTACAATTGGCAAAGAACATGCTTGTCTTCCAAACAAACCCTGCAAAGTTTGTTGAAAAAGAACCATTCGGCCATGGGAGCAAAGAAAAGATGTAAACATCTGCTCAATGTTCTCCTTCACCGCATGTGCAGTATGAGAATCCCTGCACCGTGCCGCTGGCCACTCGGGCATCGAAACGAATAACATCGGCGTGGTGTCGAGCATTTTTTCTACAAGGACGCTACGAACGGGGCTCCTGTCATCGCTACTATAGGAGCAAGGACGCTGCTAGGGGCTCCTGGCCATACTACTAGGAACAAGAAGCTATACTACAATAATGGTATTTCTAAGGTCATCTTAGTGACCGACCTCACCACTGGGCTGCTTGTGAGAGTCTTTGTTCTGTTCTCGGGTGACGGGATCAACCTAAAGCATCCCTCAAAACTCACACAAAAGAGACACACACCCTTGTTTGGCCGGTCGGATACGGATTTCGGGATACATCCTTGAGAACGTTGGCTATGTTTGGCACCATCCTGATGGCCAAAGACTGCAGGTGTTGGTGCATCGCCCGATCTGGTGCATTTCTGGGCCCGAAAAAGATGTTTTTCCTCCCCACCCAAAACGACCTTTTTTCCCTAATGACTAGCGACACTGAGGCACAACTTAGTTGGTCCCCAATGACTATATAGTGACTAGTGACTAGGCGACAAACATCCAAGACTCCTTTGCCCAGAATGTTGAAACACATGGAACAGTGACGGAACACTGTCATTGTGTGAGTTTGGAGCAAACAAACAACCTTTGTCCACCTTGATGACCTGTGGATTGGAGTCTTTGTTGTATGGAGCAGCGGCTTGAGAACCCCCTTTGACAAGTTCACTGGTACACTCCATCAAACAGCAATTCGCAGCTGTCAGAAACTAAAAACTTTCTGAAGAGACCACAGGACAGAACTGCTGGAACTGCAACCATGTGTGCACCCTTCAGTTCGCTTGGGGTCACTGGCTCCAGTGAAGCTCGGGCGGTTCTACCATCCTGTGTTCCCGGTTTTAGCCTCGGCATATGGATGAAGAGCGTGGGAACATGTTCATTGACGTCTGTGTTCACCTAAGCGCGACAACCGTGCGGTCTTCACAAATGTCCTCGCAAAGTCAAGCACACTGTCGGGTGTACACTCATCTGAGCCAAAACACTCTTCTCTCAACGTCCCATATTTGTTCATGGCAAGAACTGCGACCAAAGCGACACCGGTGAGTGCATGTACGCAGAACAGGCACTAAGCAAAGAAACAGGACCTACACTCTAATCATTTTTAGAAGTACATAGTTGCATAATCATGTCGTAACCGCCTCTGAACGACTGTTCTATCTTGGCAGGTTAGAGGTCACCCACGTATCTTGCATCAACGAGGTTTGATGAGAAGCAATGCCTGATACTCAAGAAGTAAAGACAAATACCCTTTGAAACCAAAAAAGACACACCAACAACTACATCAAAGAACCCTCCAAACACATGCTTTGATTGGGTCTATCCTATTTTCTGTAAAAGTGGATGATGATGGTTCAGTTGCAGGCCTTGTTCCAAAATAGTGATATCCTTGAAACCGGGTCCTGTTACAGGACAGTTCGGACAAACACGCTTTGACATGTCCAATACTTGTCAGTGAGGAGCTCCCATGATCTCCGGCACGATGCATGCCCTTGGCTGCGAATCGCTACGGCAGTTGGTCGGACCGCTGCGAAAGCAAGGTCCGTCCGTGGAAAAAGCAGGTCGTCCCGGGATTGGGAGTTGAAACCGCCCCTGGAAATTGGCTTCACCCTTCTGTGTCTTGTGTTCTAGAAGCTTCACCCTTCTGATTATTTCACAGGTCACTTCAGGTTCTTTCACAGAATCTTCGAGGGTCGTTGAAAAAAACAGGATGCTGTCAAAAACCGTCTGCAGGGTCTATGTGGCCTTTGTCAAATATTATCAACCCTAGTTCTTTTACACCTTGGTCACTATGCAGAAAAACACCCCAGTCAACTGGATTCTGTGAAATGAGAAGAAGACACACACACACACACACCTCCTGTGGCTAGCCATGGCTGGATGGAATCGTCTCCCTTTTACAAGAATTCACCATGCAGTCACGTCACCCTGCTTTTCTTGCATGTCAAACCATTGAATTTCCCCTCCCAAAATCTGAACCTCATGGGAGGAATCCCACAATCCCAGAACTGTGGAAGCTTCTTTTGACTGCAGCCCGGATGCAGTTTGCCGATCCCACTGGAAGCATCCAGACTGGGTAGCAGCCCCACGAAGGCCTCGCCAGGTGGCTGGAGACGAGCCTTTAGAGCACAGAAGGATGCAGTATCTGCAAGGACGCTACTGCTAGCTCCTGGCCTCACTACTAGCAGAAGAAGCTACTAGTAGCAAGGACACTATGCTCGGTGGAGGCCATCGCATGTAGGTTGGAGGTCATCTCTACAATTGTCCATTTTAAACATATGCATTGGGTATATCCCAAGCTCCCAGGGCCCAGTGGCTGGTTGCAGGCCGACTGCAGGTAGGACAAACCCAACATATATACATCTGATCTGTCTGATATCTGCGCTACTTTTCAGCGCCCAAAAGGCAGCTTCCGTTGCACCGGCGGTAGACACACCGAGGGACTGAGACACTTATGCGACAGTCGCACCTTCATTCATTCGTTTTTCACCCCAAGCGACTGGCTCGGTCACTGGACATGCAGCAGAAGAGTAAAGAGTATTTTAACTCATTCCTTAAAGAGCCTCAGGACATAGTGTTGACAAGTGACAAGTCGTCCTCAGTCATGTGCACCATTGACCAAATGACTCCAAATGACTGAAAAATAGACCGGTTGTCAGTTCTCCCAAAGAGTCGGGACAGCTCCTTCTCCAGAGAGTCGGGTCCCACGACCCCCACGGCCGGATGCGAAACAAGTGACGCCCCCAGAGGATGCGCCCATCGCCAGCAAAGGCATCTCCGACAGCTTCCTCAATGCAGCTTCCGGGATGAGAAGGATGTGTTCCAACCCGTGGGACAACCCTGTATACCGGAGGCTATTGAACATTCGGACAAATGATGAATAATATAATATTATATATATATATATATATTGAATGATAATAATTGATTTTTAAAATGACAGCCATGCATTCCATCATGATTGTGCTCCAAATCTTAAAACAGTCTATCTGTTTAGCAGCTTCGACGGACGGGGTTCTGTGTCAGTATCGTCTAGGAAGCCGCATCCGATTACACGAGGAGAAACTGTGTCGGCTTTGGTTCCTGCAAGGGGACTGCAACTCATCAGCTTCATTGAAGTCAACAAGTCCAAATCGAAGGACCCTAGGACCTGATGGCAGTACCTCCTGACCAAGCCAAGCTTGGCATGCGGACACATGGTGGACGACTTTCTTCTGCAACAATGTTTGTCCTGATCTTTCTGGAAAGCACAAGGAAATCACTTAATTCACTTTATCTTAACATTCTCTAGTAGATTCTAGTAGCAAGGACGCTATTAGGTGGAGGCCATCGCAAGTAGGTTGGAGGCCATCGCTACTAGTAACAAGAAGCTACTATTAGTAACAAAGGGTATCGCTACTAGGAGCACGAAGCTAGTAGTACTGTAGCTCCTGGCCTTACTATATACTAGTAACAAGAAGCTATTAGGAAATCACCAATCCCCCAGGTGCAAAGAAGTGCCTGGGCTCACAGCCCCTTAAGGTTCACAGTACATCACCGCACAAGCACCACATGAAACAGGGAGTGACTGTCATCACGTGAATCTATATGAATCCAATCTATTTGTATCCCCGGTGGATGGAGTTTAGCAACAAATACCTCCTACAGTACATGTTCTATAAAAGCACTCCTTGCTCCTGTCGGATGGTTACCGAGTTGCTCCTCCTTCCGCACGTGCGCCACAGCCGCCGCTACCTGGATGGTCTTCTGCGCCCGTGACGGTCAAGCAATTGTTGAAGAACATAGGTGGATTGCGGTTGATGGTGGCCATACATATATACAGTAATATTCTATTATATATACACAGGGCAAGTTCAATAAAACAGTTGTTCTTCGGGTATCTCTGAAGTGAACTCTTGTGTGTTTATGAGTCCAACGTTGATACACAACTGATCGTCCATCAACGTGGCTCAGCCAAGCTATCAAACTTCCAAAATACAAGTGGCCCGATCACTTGGGCATGAATCAAGCAACATTGTGTTCATTCATGGTCGTTGACATCCAGCATCTGTTGATCATGACAAAGCAATAGTCAAGCAGCAAAAAACATCCTGGAATAGTCTAGTCCTAAGAGCCAACCTGAGATTGAACCATTTTGGATCTAGGATGCGAGGTAGTGGCAGTGCTCTTTCTCTACGAACATCATCCGTCGGAGGTGCAAACCATCCCCAGAGAATGCATCCCAAGTAGATACATTCCTTTTAACATGCTGTTACAAGTACTTGCACTCCAATCCCCCCACCCATATCACCCTTCACTTCTTGCAGTTTCCCATCTATTCTGAAATCACTTTCATGTGCCCAGGGACACGCTCCAGGTCTCCTGCTGACCTGGTGGAGAGGTTTCAGAGGGGCACTGTTCAATTCCAATTTGCTGGAGCAGGAGGAAGTCTGGTGATTTCTGCGTGAGAGCGTGGGTTGAAAGAGTCCTCCTGCTCACTTAATCAGGTGAATGCCTTGCTCTGTCATGTTACGCAGCCCGGTAATGTCTTTTTTGTTCTTTTGGTACGAAATTTTCGCCATCATACTCTATATGGCTTATCTTGGTGTGAATATATTCATTTGATTTTGCGTCACCATCAGGGGCCCGGCCAATCGGTACTTGCCTCTCAGCCAGTTCAACAGTGAACTGTCTGTCTGTCCTGTTTGGGTCATTGGGCGGAGGCGAGGTGATACACCCGAGGTGTTTTGCATTTCGACAATCCAATAGTGGAAAGTCCAAGAATCTGGCGTAGCCCTCTCAAGTGGCATGTGTTCACAGATTTGTGGGTCCTCCATTTCGGTGACAAAGCTTGAAACCCTAGAATCCAGGAAAACACCAAGAAATGAAAGCTCTGTAAACCAAAGTAAATCTTGGTGTGTCCCCTGTTAGAGGCTAGGATTTTAGACTTCCGAGCAAATTTCACTGTCAAACGTATGGCGAGCTTGCACACATCGAAGTACCTTCAAACGTCTTGGGTTGCAAAGGATAGCTATGGTTAGTTGCCGCGTCCTTCGTAGCTTTCCTGGAAACAACATGAAACAAGCAACTGTCAGGTATCAAAATCTCTCACAAAGGCTCCTGGACATTTAGGCCTGATAGGATCGAAAAAAGAAGTACTATCTCTCTGTAAGTATTGATTTTTCAACCAAAGCATGCTTGACCCCACATTACAACCCATCTTTTATCCATGTTTTCAACCGATGGCCAGTTGTGGTTGCAAAAAAATGCATATAAACGACTCCCTGAAAGGATTGACACATAGACCAGCCTACCCATTAGTTGGTGGATGTAGGTGATCTCCCCACTACTCCCGACAATGGCGCCTCAGAAGTCTATTTGGGCTTCCAACCTAGTAGCGATGGTTCCTGTTTCCATCCGAGGCACCAGCAGCTCTGTCTCCCATCACCGCCTGACACGGCCATCACCACCTGAGGGCCAAGATGGGCCAAGTCCCAAACAGCACGGGAGAGGATTTTTGCTGAGGACCGGGGGCCTGGAAGATCGGGCTTGGAAAGCTTGGAGTCTGCCAACAAAAAACCTCCCCCCCAAACAAAATATCATGTTAGTAGGCTTCGCGTTCCATGGGGAAGTAAATTGTTACTAGTAGTAAGGCACCTGTTACTACTAGCGATGCACTTGTTACTAGTAGTAACAAGAAGCTTTTAATTTATTTTGATTTAGTTTAATTCTAATAGCTTTTTGTTGCTACTAGTAAGGCACTTGTTACTAGAAGCGATGCACTTGTTCCTAGTAGCTTCTTGTTACTAATTCTTGTTGGAGAAAATTATCCTTTTTGGACTACCGTGTGGCAGGGACCCGGACGCTTTGGGTTCCGGTCACCTGCATCCAACCACGCATGTATAGCTTTAAGGATGAATTGCTTGGAATTGGTGCCGATCTTTGGCACCTTCTTCGCCACGTAAGGCCCAGCCTCCGCGTAATTTGGCCCGCATCCAGCAACCCTGGAAGGTCCTTTTTCAGGGCAACGGTCACAAAGGTGTACTGTAATAGCACCAAGTCTCAGCTGCAAGATGGCCGGTGTTCCTACTTGTCCTTGCTGCATCCAGGCAGGCACTTCAGATGGATGGAGCAACAGCACTGATGTATGCAGCTAAGTAGCTGCACCCATCAGGGCTCTTCCTTTATCTACCCTGGCCCTGGCAGCATGCTCATCAGCTTCAAACTCAAGCAACGCCAGTAGAGCTTAAGCCACACCATGAAGCGGTGGATCTCTGGTGTCCACTCCTCTTGCATTGCGAACTTGTGTCTTTGACTATAATATGTTGGACCTCAGCAAGCCGGTTGTGATCACATGCAACAAGCTGTGGTACCGGGAGGGCAACAGCCCAAGACGACCATCCAATGTCTTCACCGAGAAGTCTCGCAACCTTGAGACCTCTTGAGACCTTGAGTCTCCAACCTGAGCAGCAAGATGATGCAAGCAGTTGCTTCAAGTTCCTTCGTGTCCCCTGTGCAACTTCCGCCACACAAATATTACAGCCGGACAGGAGCATCATGGACGAGCGAATCGTCTGCGCGGTTCTGGGGGGGGGGGTCGAAGGCAGCAGCATGAAGACACAAAGCCGAAGGCGTTAAAGTTTCCTGACACAATGAAATGCTGACCGTCATCCCATGAGCCATGAGTGTTTCTTCCCTACAGTGCCCTGTCCGAGACAATATATACATACGTGCATATATATATATACATATTGTTTGCGATCTCGTTCGTTTGGCCAAGTCCTGCATTTTGGCGGAATTGAGGACCTATAGACTCCCTTTTTGCATTTTAAGTCTATACCAATCTACAAATTATCATTTTGTGAGGACGTGTCTGGCTTCCTCTAGTGTTGCATTGTTGCTCTCCGCCAACTAAAAGTCATCCCCCCATGCCAAAAACTCTAAATATCATCTGAGAACACTTCAAAAATCCTTCAGACATTCCCCTGTTCCCTCCTGGACCGCACTGCCATCCTTTTGGGCACAGGCGGAATGCTGCCGGCCACGCCAGCCAAGTTTGGGCCACGCGGACCCGGCGTCGCGCCCACCGGAATCAGCCCGGTGTGTGGTTTAGTGGGTGAAAGTGAGGTGGGTGAAGCACGCTCGGTCTCCCCGCTTCTGTTGGGGGCATTTCGGAGACGAAACAAAACGCGCCATCGCACGCGGAGTGGATCGCACGTGCGAGAGTGTGTGATCCAAAGGACCAGAACTCTGATGTGAAACCATCGAGCTTAATTACCTTAACAGTAATTATACAGTAGACTATTTATAGATAATAAGTACTAATTATAGACTATATTTTTTCTTTATATAGACTTTTATCTTTTTTGAAGGATAGAATTCCAGTGAATGCCGCTGAGAGTATAGTCTCTTGGATTTGCGTTCTAAGATACAGCCGGCTCACTTTCACTCGCACTGCTTGTGGCGAAGGATGATATTTTCGTCACCTCAGTTGATGCGCCCAGAATCCGAAGCCCAAGTGTGCCATCCATACTGAATAGCAATCAAAATACTTGTCAAAGCAATCTCTGTGTTTGCAAGAGGTGCATTTCAGGGTCATGTGAGTTTCACTGGGCTGATTCATGCTGATTCAGTAGATCCTTAAGACCGCCAATTTTTCTGAAGAGCAATTCCAGATAACAGGCTTCCACATATTGTTTCCAGTTTTTGCCCCACTCGCTGACTACTCAATATGTACGACACAAGTACTGCCAACAAAAGCAACAATGAAAAACACATTGTTCAGATTGGCCAACTAAATTCCTCTTTTTTTATGAAGGAGGAGGCCATCGAGATTAGGTTGGAGGCCATCGCTATTAGGTTGGAGGCCATCGCTAGTAGGTTGGACAACTACTTCCCATATCTTCCCGTCATATTTTTTGGGATTTACGTTTTTGAGGATTGCCTTGTTTGTCCACTCTGAATGACTCTTGAGGGCCCAAGGAGCACTTAGCCCTGGTTCCTTGGAGAGCTGCTGTAGAAGCTTGTAATTAAGCCCAATTCTGAGGGAATGGAGCAATGCAACAAGGACATGTTTTGCACTTTACTTGTGAACCCACTGATACTTGGGGGTTATCCATCAATCACCAGCCATGGCACAAATAACCATCGTCTTTACAGAAATCAAACTCTAATTACCTCAACCCCCCCCCCACTCCCTGCCCCACTTCTGAAGGCCCCACTTCTCTCCAAGTCGCTGCATTCTCGCTGACGCCCCCGAAGCCGCTCCCTTCCGACAGCCGCGCCGTTCCCGGCGCCCGCTCCCGCCGGGTCCGCCGATCCCGCGGGAGCCCCGATCCGCCACCGGGGCCATTGGAGCGGATGGTGCGACGCTTTCCGCCCATGTCCCGATCCTAAGAGAGGCAAAACGTTTCATCTGACAGATCAGTCGCAGTATTTGTGCTGTCTTTTGAGTTCGGATATAGTCTTTTATTCAAGATGACAACTGTGCCTCTAGCACCTGATTTCCATGGAGGAAAGTCGGCGAAACCTATCTTGCTTGACGATTTACATAAACTCTTGCTCTCTTGGGGCCTCTCAGAACTGCCAGAACTTGGGTGAAATGGGCCTATTCATGTCAAAACAAAGCTGGCCAAACAAACAGATTGGATGTTCAAAGATCTGGTGTCTGCAACCAACCTTCAAAGTTTGACGAGCTCATTTTCCTAAGGTGGGGAACGTTAGGTGCTCACCTTAACCTCTTGCTTTTGACAAACATGTGGGAACCAAAGTGCAGTTGTTTCATGTTACTCGAAATGATACTGTAGCCCTGTAGCCCTTTGGATGTTGCCTAAGAACAAGCAGCAAAACCCATTGATACAGGTATGTAGGAACAATCATTGACATCTATTAGTATATTTATGATTGACATGAAAGAAAAAGGACTGTTCCTCACTCTTTCTCCGCGGAAGACGACGGACGTTTCATAGAACCCGAAAGATCGGCCAGAAACCCAGCCAAGGTCCACCGTTCGGGTACCGCGCAACGACCGGTTCGGGCAACGACCTTGACCGTTCGCACGACGGAGCACGACGCTGTTCCAAGGCGCCATGTAGTGAGCCCAGAAGACGTCCGCCTTCGCACCGTTGGAGCCCGCGCTGTCAGTGTAGGTTCTTTCCCGCCGCGGCGGCAGCTCGGTCGACTTGTTTAAGATGTGCTCAGCCTGCTGGGCAAAACCTGGGAGGGACGGAAGCAAGTGATCAAACAGTTGAAACTCCTGAGCATGGAGGTAACTTGGGTGACATAGCTCATGGGAAACAAGATCCAGAAAGCACGGAACTGACTGACTGGTCAATTTTGGGTGGTTTGGTTTGACACCAAAGAGTCTTTCCCCTTCCTTGCCCTTTCAACCGGTGTATACGGTCCTAAAGAATCCGGTGCCAGGTGTTGGATGTTTCTGAACTCGCCCAGTCTTGTGAGACGTTTGGGAAGACATCCCTTGAACTTGATGTGTGTGTGAGTGTGTGTTTCATGCTGGGATGGTCTCCAAACAGGGATTCCCCAAAACGACTATGAAAAATGGGATCCCACATATTCAAGTGGGATACCACTCTTTCTGCTGGGTGAAAGGGGGCAAAAGTCTTCTTGGCACCTAAGAACAAGCTGGCTTGAACTCCTACGTGTGAGATGCTAACCATGGAGGGAGAGCCGTAGGTGCGTGGACATGGCAATTGGGCTGTTGCAGGCTGCTTTGCTCGGCAAACAGGTGGATGTCTATGGTAATGCGTGGGTAACCCACCCCGTGTACTAGAACAAGTCTCGTGTCTTGGCTTGTCCTTACGTTCTTGCTTCTAGAGCTCTACAATAACAGGCTATAGAATAGATGCTTGAGGAGGTCACTAGTTTTCCGATGAGGAACATTCAAGCCTCTGCACGGAGCATTCCAGTTGGGCCACCACACGCTCCATTGAGATGTCCAACTGCAGCTCGGTCTGTTGCGCCGCTGCCGCGCTCCCCGATGCTGCCGATGCAGTTCCGGTGAGCAAGGCGACCTTTCGACTTAAGTTCACGGAAAAGACGTGTTCTTTGGTGGCCTCCTTGCAATTTAAAGCAGCACTGCCACCTGGAACGCTGGGACTGCCCTGTGGCGCACTAAAGGTTATCAATGCCGGGCTGTTGCTCTCTCCTTCCTTTGGAACAATCCCCGCATTGAGCGTAGGACTGGTGAGCGTAGGACTGGATCCATCAAACTTCATCGACTTGACCGGTTGCGACCTGAGCCCCTTGACCTCTCCATAGACCTTGTCGATCTGCAACGCAAGGTGCTGGAAACAATCCTCACAGAGATCCTTGGCATCACGTTTGGACCTCCAAAAATGGCTATCTTCCCCAATTCGCTTGTTTTGCCACGCACAAGCAAAAACAAACATACACAAACAAACATAAAAATCAAAATAAACCTAAATCAACAAGCAGCATCTTCCCGCTTACA